TTTTTGTACCAGGGATTGAACTGGCTTGTGCTTGCGAGGCAGGCAAGGTGTTGTTTCTTTTAGGCCCTCTCTCCTGACAGAGCAAAGAAATGTTTTATGTATGCAAACCCATATATATGTGTAAATATTTATATATGCACACGTAAGTATTGATATATGTAGACCTCTTTATGTATATTAAGTTAAAATAGGTTTTCTATGATATCTCCAAATCCAATCTGTTACCACATAGATCATTCTGGCTTCTTTTCTGTATTTATAAATGCCCACTGCAATGAGATAGCCTTTTATCATCCTGTCATCCACCATCCACGTACTTGCTTTTTTTGTTTTGGTACTGGGGATCGAACTTGGGACCTTGTGCTTGCAAGGCAGGCGGCACATCCATTTACTTGTTTAGTTCCAGGATACAAATGTAGTAACATCAGAATTGTTAACTGGAACTCCTGTGGGGTACTTAATTTATCTCATAGAGTACTGTGCTTATGCATGGTTCCTTTTGCCTTAAATTTTTGTTTTGTTTAGTTTGTGGTTTCTGGTAACGGGAATCAAACTCAGGACCTTGTGCTTGCAAGGCAGGTGGTGGCACCGCTGAGCTAAATCGCCAGCCCTCCTTTTGCCTTTAGTTTTACAGAGTCCATTCCCAAATGGCTGTTTTTTTGTTGTCTAAAGTTATAGTTATAAAGTTAAGATTTTTGGTTATCATTGCCTAGAAAGTAAATATTTGGCCTTATGGAGAATGAGATTTAGATGAACAATGGAATACAGAGAATCTACTATGTTTTGTTAATTAATATTTACTATCTCATTTAGTTCTCACAGTGGTAAGGTGATATTGTCATTATTTTTCAGAGGATAAAATGAAGGCTCAAAGGACTTACAGGGATCAAGCTGAGATTCAAGTTCTTCTTGAATCTAGAACCCATACTTTTTCAAACTTTCACACACACACACACACACACACACACACACACACACGGGCAGGGAGAAGATAATTAGTTAGATGGATGACGCAAGAATACTTAAAAGTCGAATAATAAGAATTCTAAAGTTTTTAATAGGCCAAGTGCAGTGGTGCATGCCTGTAGTCCCAGCTAGTTGAGAGGCTGAGACAAGAAGATCACTTAAGTGTTCCCTTTTTTTTTGGTACTGGGGATCGAACTTGGGACCTTGTGCTTGCAAGGCAGATGGTTGAACCACTGAGCTAAATCCCTGGCCCAAGAAGATCACTTAAGTCCAGACCAGCTTGGGTAGCCTTGTTAATGTGTATGAACTGCCTCCTATTTTTCTTTCTGTGAAGTGATAAAAATTTTTTATCAGTCACTATATTGTCAATTATTAATAGCTGTTTCAAGAACCTGTCTCTAAAGAAAAAAATTGAGACTATAATAGAAAATATAAGGCAAATATAGTATTTATTAACTGCAAACTCAAGGTTAGGACCATAATCTCATGGTCATTAATTTATTTTTCTCTGAGATGTTCTTTGTGTCTTATTTCCCTGCAGTTATTTTATTTTTTAACAACATTGGAAAGCTTCTTGTCACTTTGTGCAGCTTCTTTTTCTTCCCATTGCCTTGCTTACTCTTCAAGCCTGGTTATCAGCCATGCTAACATTGCCACCTTCTGTATTTTGCAGGAAGTGAGTGCTTTTGGTGAGGAAGGTGAAGGTGATTATCTGGATGACTGGACAGTGCTCTGTAATGGGCCCTACTGGGTGAGAGATGGTGAGGTGAGGTTCAAACATTCTTTCACCGAAGTACTGCTGTCTGTCACAGGAGAACAATATGGTCGACCCATCAGTGGACAAAAAGAAGTGCATGGCATGGCCCAGCCAAGCCAGAATAACTATTGGAAAGCCATGGAAGGCATCTTCATGAAGCCCAGTGAGTTGTTGAAGGCAGAAGCCCACCATGCAGAGCTGTGAGTCCAGAGGTTCCAAGCCAATCACTACACAGTATTCATAGACATCTGTTGCTGCTTCACCCACGGGTTCCTGCCACGCATCATCTGGGCAGTGGCCATGTCCTCATGGAAATAAAGATGCACAACAGAAGGCAATGGCTGTGTTTGGAAGCTGTAGCCCTTCATCCTGGAATTGGTTGCTCTCCCATACCTGAGTCAATTCTGAGTAGAGAACTTGCTGATGAAAGCACAGATGCTTTTAATTCATACTGATATAAGAAATTAGACAAATACTCTCTCTTAGCTGGGAGATTTCTCCTCTTTGGGTGCTTGGCATCATGGATTTTTTTTCCAGTACATGTCTGTAGTACATCATAATGATTACATTCATTGTGGGGAGCTGGTACATGTACATAACACATCTTAATTCTTTTTACATCTCCTTCTCCTTCCTGCCCTCATTTGTTGGCATGGATTGATTGTGTGTGTGTGTGTGTGTGTGTGTGTGTGTGTGTGTGTGTGTGTGTGCTGGGGATCAAATTCAGGACCTTGTACTTGCTAGGCAGGCGTGGCACCACTGAACTAAATCCCCGGGCCCCATGGCATGGATTGTTAATGTATGTGAATTCCACTCTATTTTTCTTTCTCTGAAATTATAAAAATTTATCATTTACTGTATTATCACTTTTGTTGTTGTTGTTTTGTTTTGTTTTTGGTACCACGGATCGAACTTGGGTCCTTGTGCTTGCTAGGCAGGTGGCAGAACCACTAAGCTAAATCCCCAGCCTTACTGTCACGTATTAATAGCTATTTCATGGTGTGCTTAGTCCTCAAGTCCAGAAACTTTGGAGATGCTGGAAACCTTCAGCATGGGCCATTTTAGGAGGTTTACTTACATCTAAACGTTTTCTTTCTGTTACTTCAGTTCTCCCCAGGCACCTCAGCTTATTACATTTTTGAATAAGTATGGCTAGCGACTCTCAAAAAATATACCATAATGAGTAGCTAAGGAAATATTTTACTCTGGACCTGTTACTGTAGATAAAAAGGGGTAGAGGTAGAAAGCAGAACCAACATTAACTGCTACACACTAGACATCATATTGTAGCTGTTACTTCATTTCATCCTCACAGAAATTATAGAGTAGACATTAGTTTTACCAAGGCAGAACAGTTTATTGCCTCAAATTTTATTTTGGGGGTGGGCATTTGGACAGGAAGTGAACTAATTTCTTAAAACTAGTAAGTAATTTTGGGATAGGAATGTAGCTTTGTCTGACTCACTTTTTTTTTCCCCCCAGTACCAGGGGTTGAACTCAGGACCTTGCACTTACCAGGCAAGCATGGTGTCACAGGCTAAATCTCTGGTCCTTGACTCGCTCTTTTTTTTTTTTTTTTGGTGTTTTGAGACAGTGTTTCACTATGTAGTTGAGACTGACCTGGAACTCACTATGTGGCCCAGACTGGTCTCAAACTCACAGCGATCCTCCTGCCTCAGCCTCCTGAGTGCTGGGATCATAGGCATGTGCCACCACGCCCAGCAACTCACTCTTTTTACTATGCTACAATTTTGTATTTAGCTCTTGGAAGATAGTACCTTTTTCGGTTGAAGGGATAGGGATATCCTTTTTTTTTTTTTTTTTAAATGGTAGTATCAGGAATTGAACTCAGGATCTTGGGCTTGCGCTTGTGAGGCAGGTGCAGTGCCACAGAATAAAATCCCTGGCCCGGGGATATCTTTTTTCTGAAATCAGTATGGGAAAGTTTTTGTTTTTGTCCTCTGACTACCTCATTTTCTTCTTTCCTGTGCCACTTGACTCCAGAAAGTTTGCTCCTATATACTGGGAATCAAACTCAGGACCTTGTGCTTGCAAGGCAGGTGCGGCACCACTGAACTAAATCCCTGGCCCCTAAAATTTTTACTTTTGAGACAGGGTCTTGCTAAGTTACCAAGTTGGGCTTGAAATTAGATTCCTCTTGCCTCGGTTTCCCAGATTGCTGTGATGTGTACCACCACACTTAGCTTACTCCTATATCCTCCAAACATGGTAGTGGTGAATAGAAGTGGCTGCCACCTACTAGATTTTCAGTGATTAGCAAGCTTTTTTTTTTGAGATGGAGTTTCACTATGTACTGTAGTTTAGGCTGGCCTTGAACTCTCAGTGATCCTTCTGCCTTGTCCTCTAGTGTTGCGACTACTGGAGTGTGTTACAGTGCCTGGCTAGTAAGCTTATTTATTTTTTAAAACTTCTGGGTTTTTCTTTTTTTTCTATTTAAGATGTTAATGTTGAACATTTAGAGATACCAGTTCTATGCTAGACCTGGCCCATGACATTAAGACGGTTTCTTGGGCTGGGGATTTAGCTCAGTGGCACTGTACCTGCCTCACAAGCACAAGGTCCTGAGTTCGATCCCTGGTACCAGTCTTTGTTTTTCTGTTTTTTTGAGACAGGGTTTCACTTTGTAGTTCTGGCTGGCCCTGAACTCACTATGTAGCCCAGGCTCGCCTCAAACTCACTGCAATCCTCCTGCCTCAGCCTCCAGAATGTGGGAATTACAGCCTTGCACCACCACACCCAGCAAGACTTGGTTTCTTTTAGGAAGACTTACAGTCTCAGTAAACTTAGGCTATGAATTAATAGAGTTCCTTCTCTGCCTCTACCCCTCTTCCCTATTCCACTTCAGTTGCTTCAAAGAGACTTTGTTTTTCAGTATCAGGGATCAAACTCAGGACCTTGTGCTTGTCAGGCAGGCGTGGTGCCACTGAACTACATCCCTGGCCCTTCCACTTCAACTGTTTTGATTCATTAGGAATCACTATTGTCAATAACAGACATAGAATCAACATTTCAAGCTCTGAGATTGCTGCTAGTAGGAGTCATAACAGTCTAGGGAGAAGAAAGGAAGTGACAGGCATCTTAGCTGAATAAAAGAAGCAGATGAGAGTATAGAGATGGGTTACAAGGCACCACTCCTTGACCTACACAGTTTCTGGACCTTCCCTGAGCACTCGGGACATACACTGATGAAAGCTGCTGATTTTAAGGATAACAAATAATGTTTGGCAGGTAAGTATGACCTCTCTTCCGAAGTATGAAACAGTAGTAGTGCCCCTGGGAATATGTGAAATAACTGATTTAAGGGCTAGAAAAGGAAGGAATCTAGTTGGAATAAAAGCAACTTTGGGCAACATGTTGGTAAAAGTTGAAGTTCTGAGTAAATCTTGAAAGATGGTTATAGAGATTAGGACACTAGAACAGAGATAGTACTCCATAATACTGACTCTTGAAAGCCCCAAGATTTCTTTAGTAATTATACTTTACTATCAGTAAATTATAGTTGTTAGTAAATCATTCAGATAGTGACCCACAAACAGTGTGGTGGTGCACGCCTGTAACCTCAGCATTCTTGGAGACTGTGGCAGGAGAATCACAAATTCGACCTCACTTGGGCAACTTGGACTTAGCAAGACCCTGTCTCAGACCAAAACAAAACAACTGTTGTCTGGGAATGTACCTCAGCTACATTCTCTGACTTTTTAAATCTGTAGTTTTTGAAAGAGTACCTCTAGTCACTAAATTGCTCATGCTGGGCTCAAACTTGGGATATTCCTGTCTCAGCCACCTACAGCGCTGAGATTACAGACTTGTGTCACCACGTCCAGCTAACAAGCTGTTTTCCCATAACATCACAGTCATTCTAAGCGACCTTTGTCCAATATCCCTTCTTACACTTCCTGGCCCAGTCCGTGCTATATACGTTGCAGAAACAAGTTTGTCCAGGGAAGTGTCTGGAAAAGTTAATACGTATAAACTGACCAGATCCGTAATCGGGCCGTAAAGGAGTTGAAAACTCATGGGTTTCTCTTGCGGGTGAAATGAACTGGAATTTCTAAGATCTTTTAGTTATCTCTTGATTTCCTCAGCTTCCTGAGGAATAGGGAAGTACTATTACTTCTGACCTAAGAGTATAACGTGGGCCGACTTCTCAGTCCAGGCCTTGAGCAGCCAGGCTCTTTAGCTGCCTTAGGAAATGTGTTTTGAAAGTGGAACTCTAAGGCTGAGAGGAGCCCTGTGAGGTTACCAGTAACCTGGGACAACTTGCTCGGACTCCGACCCCCAGCAGGCCCGACACTGCCAGCCGCGCCCAGGGCGGGGCGCCTCTGTCAGCTACTTCGAGGTCGGCGCCCCCCCCCTTTGCTTCCTCCGCAG